TAAAAAGGGAAAGGGGGAGAGTGCTGACCCTTTGTGACGATTGCCACTAATGTCACAAAACAATTTGTGTACAAAATTTTTAAATGAAAAACTAAGTTGCATGGTAAATTTTCACCTAAAACACGATAAAATTTTAAAAAAGAGAGAAAAGAAAGACCTTGTGACTTGTTCAAGGTCATGCAACTGAGTGGGATGAGATTCATCAGAACCTAGGTCTTCTTACAACTAATCTAATATTCTTCTCTATTTCCACAGGAGACCATAGGACCAGAGATACATGATTCAACGGCATATTAAATTGATGATTCACGGTAAGTAGGAAGCACAGAAAGATTAGATTACTAGTGGTGTATGTTTCTTTGTAATGACAATATTTTATGTAACCTTAGGGAGTATTTTAGGTTGAGTTTCCCCAGAATAGGCCCTCATACAAGGATTGGAGTGTCGGTAGTTTATATGGCAGCAAGTCATAGAGAACAAGCCTAGGTGAGTCAGGAATAGGGACAAAAAAGGGAAGAAACCAATTAAGGGTGACTATAGAGGTTATTGGTGATTCAGTGGAAGAATTCTCACCTGGGAGACCCATGTTCAATTCTCGCCTCTTGAGGAGCCAACACCAATCTGTCAGTTGAGACTGGTGTGTTGCTATAGTGATAAACAGATTTTAGCAAAGTTTCATACTAAGAAGGATTTGGAAGAAAGACCTGGTGATCTACTTCCAAAAATGAAAACTTTACGGATCAAAAATGTACAATCTGCAAACAATCATGAGGATAGTGGAGGACTGGGTAGCATTTCATTCTATAGTGTATGGGGTCACCATGAGTCAGAGGCCAACTCAAAGGCAACTGGGCAACTGTGAGCAACTGGGCTCAGTTCCACTGAGCAACTCTGGGAACAGTGTGGAGAATGTCTGGGAATTATCCCACCTAGAGGGCAAGGCATTCCTGGATGGTGCAAACGGTTAGCACTCCACTACTAGCCAAAATGTTAATTGTTCGAACCCACCCAGAGGTGCCTCTGAAGACAGGCCTGATGACCTATTTCTACAAGGTCACAGCCCTGAAAACCTTATTTATCAATTCTACAAATGGGGCTCGTCATGTGTTGGAATAGACTAGACAGCAACTATTAACAAGGACATAGGTCAAGGAAGCTGGGATAGTTATTCTCCAAGTCTCCTCTATCATTTCCTGAGGGCTGCTTCTAAGGGAGGCCCTCAGGCAGAGTTGTAGCTGCTTCAGTAGGTCACTGTAGGCACCTCCTGGAATAAAGAATCCAGGGAAACACATAGGGATGTAGCACCAAGGACATCTGCTACAGATACCTGCTAAAACAGTGTGGAATTATATGAGGCCAGGTAGCTACAAAATTGCTACAAACTGATATGTTTTCTTCAAAAATTAATGTAATCTAATATTCTGAATAAAATGACGTATTGCATTGGACAAATCTTCAAAAGACTTCTTTAATGTGTTAAAAAGCAAAGATATCACTTTGAGGACAGAGGTGCACCTGACCCAAGCCATGGCATTTTCAATCACTTCATATGCATGCAAAAGCTGGACAGTGAATAAGGATGACTGCAGAAGAATTGATGCCTTTGAATTATGGTGTCGGCAAAGAATATTGACTATACCAGGGACTGTCAGAATAATGAATAAGTCTGTCTTGGAGGAAGTACAGCCAGAATGCTCATTAGAAGCAAAGATGTTGAAACTTCGTCTCATGTACTTTGGACATGTTATCAGGAGGGACCAGTCCCTGGAGAAGGACATGACCCTTATTAAAGTAAAGGGTCATTTATTAAAGTAAAGGGTCATTGAAAAAGAGGAATACCTTTTACAAGATGGATTGACACTGTGGCTGCAACAATGAACTCAAATATAGCAATGATTTTGCGGATGGCGCAGGACCAGGCAGTGTTTCACTCTGTTGCACGTATGGTTGGTATAAATTGGAACTGACTCCATGGTGTCTAACAACAATGTTCGGAATAGTTTTCCAAACTCTAATAAATCCAGGAGAGTTCAGATTTACGCCTGTTGTCTCTGAGAACCTTACTGCAGTCTAAAAATGTGGGCCAGTAATATTATCAGCCTACAGAGAAGCCTTCAGAAGGGGTAAACCTGTTGCTCTCAAGTCAATTCTGACTCAGAGTTACCCTATAGATACAGAGCAGAACTGCCCCATAAGGTTTCCAAGGCTGTAATCTTTAAGGAAGCAGATTGTCACATCTTTCTCCCACAGAGTGGCTGATATGTTCAAATGCCAACCTTTCAGTTAGCAGCTAAGTGTTTAACCACTGCATCACCAGGGCTCCTTCAGAAGGGGTGGGAGTACTGACATATTTAGAGGAAAGGAATATAAGTCAGGGGATCAGCTTATGCAAAGTTGTGAAACATGGCTTTGGGATAGTGACTAGATCACTTTTATGGGATAGAAATTTATACTGAGGCAAAATGGAAGTCATCATTATTAAGGCTTGATGAGGCTCCTGAATGTCAGAGTAAGAAATTTGAATTTGTTCTTGTAGCAAATAGGGAGTCAATGAAACCTTTTGTTCTAGAAAGAGAATTTTAGAAAAAATATCTAAGCATATTCCTGATAAGGTGAAAGGTCAGCCCTCAGGAAAAGGCAGCATGAAGTGAGCAGTATAATTTGACCTCCTCAGTTAATGTTACAATTATTCCATATCGCTGAGGTAAATACAAATGAACCCTTCCTTTAGCAGTCATAGGGCAGTGAATGGGTATAGAATTAGGATAATTTCAAAAAATTATATATAAGTAATATTTTAAAATGAATTATTAAAAAATAAAGGAGATGATGAAAATAAATTAGAAGTAATATGAAAGTTTTGAATTGATTTGGATATCTACACAGAGAAAGTGTTCATTTGTTCAAAGGTCCTTAAAGAGGTCTAACAGATAGTCATCTGAATTGAGGAATTTAGGTATTAAAAGAATATATTTCTTCCTGGATGCAAAAAGAGCACCAGTGGAGAAACAGAAGATCCAACATCATCATCATCATCACCATCCTAATATTTTCTATTACATAATGTAAACAAGGCTAGGAGCAGACATCATAGCATTACTACTGATTGAAAGGAAATCTGATTGTAAAGGCTATGAGAAAAAAATGCTACATAAAGACACAAACTTAAATGTGCTGTAATTTAATCAATTTTATCTAATGGACTAAATTACATATTGCAATAATTGATTATTTTTGTAAAAACTATATAATTTCATTATTGATTGGCATTTAAGAAGGTTAGAGGAACTTGGACTTATTAGGTGTGAAAAAATGGTAATTACTTTATGAATTAAAGGAATACTCTAAATTAATTTTTAAACAGACTACTGATAAATTTTGCCAGTTTAAGAAAATATATGATTACTTTTAGTTGAAATTAAGAGTGAAAGAATTTTCGTTGAGCTTTGCTTTAAAACAACTTCAGCTGCTACACACCAAATTACTTTCTGTTCTATTTGATTTTGTTCAGACTTAAGTCCTGAAATGTACAATATATGAATGGTTCAATTTTTATACTACTACAAACAATGCAGGTATCAACAATTTTAAAAATACCATTCCTGAAGTTTTTATCAGTAAACTGACAGTATTACACAGCTGTGTACTTGACTGACCTGACTGCTTTATTTTCCCATACAGTCATGTTACAGATCCTTTAATTTTTTCATTTTGGAGTGAATATTACTGTAGTTGGCATCCCACAGCTTCTCATAATGATATAAAAATCAACTTATTTATGCACATCTTATTATCTGAATATATTAGCCAAACATTATATAGAGAGGGTTTTAATAGATATTGAGGCTTATGTAAACATGTAAGAAACACTTTAAAATACTAACAGTAATCCAATGGCTTAGATTGTTGTAATCAGTAAAAAACAGATAATAAGTACTGTGATGGTTAAAGTTGTGTGTCAACTTGGTTATGTCATGATTCTCAGTATTAAGTAAGTATCCTCCATTTTGTCATCTGATGTAATTATTCTCTGTTCTGTGATCTCCCATAAGTAATACCATGTAATGATATAAATGATGTGATCAGACAATCAGTTGTAAAGGGAGTTTCCTCAGGAGTGTGGCCTGCACCCAATATATATGGAAATTCTGGCAAAGCTTGCTTACTTGCTCTGGATCCTGCATCTAGTCATCATCATGTGGTCTCTGGTTCTTGGGGCTTTAGCCAGTGTCCTACCATATTGCCTGCTGATCTTGGGATTCATCTGCCTCTACAGCCTGAGTCAGCAGCCTGCCATCTTACCTGCTGATCTTTGATTCATAAGCCCTTGCAGGTAAGAAAGTCAGGAGAAGTTTCCAGACTGACACCTGACCCATAGACTTGGGACTTGCCAGCCTCTACAATTGTGTGAGCCATTTCTTTGGGATAACTCTCTTTCTCTCTCTCTCTCTATATATATATGTATACACATACATATGTATATGGTGCAGTAGTTAAATGATACGGCTGCTAACCCAAAGGTCAGCAGTTCAAATCCACCAGCCACTCCTATAAGGCAGTTCTACTCTGTCCTCTAGGGTCACTATGGGTTGGAATCAACTCCACAGCAACAAGTTTTCAGTTTTTTATATGTATATGTATATGTATATATGCAGACACATACACTTCACTGGTTTTGCTTCTCTAGAGAACTCAACCTAAGAAATTTGGTACTGAGAGTGGTTCTAGAGAAACAGAAACATAAGGATGAGATTTCTAAATTGGTTCTCCAGTCTGACTACTCTTAAAGGTGCTGATGACTCTGCCTCCAGTAGTAAAGAGGGTGCTGCTAATCCATGATGTGAGGTGACAATATTAATATGCAAAATATCACCATCAATAGATCAAGTATTGGTGGGAAGTGAGGCTCTGGGTGATCATGTTTGATATTTTTCTACAGTTTGTCAGAATGAGAAGTATAGGGAAGCTAGTTGGTTGGTCTACTTTTGTTAGACAAAACGATGAAAGAAAGAGATGAGCTCAGGGCTTCAGAGTCACAGTTCAAGCACAGCACAAAAGATCTCAAAGATTCCACTTGTGCCCTGAAAGAAAGGCTTATTTCTTGTAGCAATGGAGGTGATATCGCCAAAAAACCTACCCAGAGTCTTATCGTAAGAGTGGCTAAATTACACTAGTTGAATTCCCAAACTCAAAAGGTGTTTGAAGTTATGGTGAGGTCATTGATTAGGAAGAAATGGAATCCTGAAACTTGGGATGTGGGACATATGGGCAGATAATCGGAAAGTTAGGGACACTGAGCCCCTAAATTAGGTTGAATCACTCACTCCTGCCAACAAAACCATCTCTCTAAATCTCATCTACAGATCATTTCTTCTTTGTCTGCTAAACCACCCTTCCCAGTAAAACCTTTGTCATTTCCACCTCTGTCTGATGAGATTAACCCAGCTGTCTGTGCCTGAAGAGTCTTTGAGATATCACCTGGGGTGGTGGCTGGAGCATTGGCTGGGGCATTGCCTGAGGTAGATGTCTTACAAGACATTGCTGAATGTTCCCAGGAACCACCCCCACTATCCGTTTTTGTATCTAGACCTACAACTAGACTTAAGTCCCAGTGAGCACCAAAAGGTAAAGTACACAGTGTTACCCAGGCAGAGGTTCACTACACTCCAAAAGAACTGCTTGACGTTTCTAGTGTGTACAAACAGAAACCTGAGGAATTTGTGTGGTATTGGCTATTAGGGGTGTGGGAAAATGGTGCAAAGAACATAAAGTTGGATCAGTCTGAGTTTATTGATATGAGCCCACTAAGCATAGATTCTTGACTCAATGTTCAGCTTGAGAGGTTAAGAAAGGATCTAACAGTTTATTTGGTTGTGTCACTAAAGCATGGATTACGCGGTGTCCTACACTAAATCAAGATGAAGTGCCAGACCTGCCTTGGTATACTGTTGAAGAAGGAATTCAAAGGCCTAAGGAAATTGGCATGTTAGTATGGATTTAACAGGTTAGACCCACAGACCCACAGATGGAGTGCCCGGAGGACACACCTTTTACCACAACAGTGAGAAACAAATTGGTGAAAGGAGCCCAGCATCCTTGAAGACTACCGTGATTGCTATTTTATGTAAGTCAGAATCGACAGTGGGAACTGCCCTAACTGAATTAAGACACCTAACTACAATAGAGCTAACTGGACCCCTTGGTGGTAAGGGTCAAGTGGTGGCACTAAGTTGACAAAGACAAGGTGGGCGTGGTTAACCTAAGGGACAGAAGAGTCAAAGCAGTAATCAGAATAGTCTGACTTGTATTGACTTATGATATTGGCTATTTAGTCATGATGTCCCTCAGCATGAAATAGATGGGAAATCTATTAAAATTTTACTAGATCTATACAAAGGGAAGAATTATAGGCCAAGTGAGGGGCAATCTAAACCAGAGTCATCAGAATAGAGAGCCACAGCCTATCAATCAATTCCCAGACTTGAGCCAGTTTACAGATCTACAGACCCCTGAATGAATGGGAGGCCAAGTCCCCTTGAGAAATGACCCCATTGCAATACCAAAAATTTATACTGCTGCTCTTTCTCCCAGCCCTTCCCAAATGGATCTATGGCCTTTTACAAGAGTGACTGTTCATCGGGGGAAAGGAAATAATCAGACTTTTCAGGGATTACTGGATTCTGGCTCTGAACTGACATTAAATCCAGGAGACACAAAATGTCATTGTGGCCCACCAGTCAGAGTGGATGTGTATAGAGGTCAGTTATTAATGGAGTCTTAGCTCAGGTCCCTCTCACAGTGTGTCCAGTGGGTCCTCGAATCCATCTTATAGTGATTTCCCCAGTTTCAGAATGCATAATTGAAATACACATACTAAGCAATTGGCAGAATCCTCACATCAGATCCCTGACATGTGGAGTAAGGGCTATTATGGTACCAAAAGTCAAGTAGAAGCCCTTAGAACTGACCCTACCTAAGAAAACAGTAAACCAAGAGGAATACTGCATTCCTGGAGGGATTGCAGAGATTACTGTCACCATTGAGGACTTGAAGGATGCAGGGGTGGTGATTCCCACCATGTAGCCATTCAACTTGCCTATTTGGCCTGTGCAAAAAACAGATGGATCTTAAAGAATGGTAGTAAATTATCAAAAAATTAACCAGGTGGTAACTCCAATTGCAGCTGCTGTTCCAGATGTGGTTTCATTGATTGAGCAAATTAATACATCTCCTGGTACCTGGTATGCAGCTATTGCTCTGGCCAATGCCTTTTTCTGAATTCTGGCTCCAAAAGATCATCAAAAACAGTTTGCCTTCAGCTGACAAGGCCAGCAATAGACCTTCACCATTCAAATGCAGGAATACATCAACTCTCCAGCCCTATGTCATAATTTAGTCTGCAGAGAGCTTGATCACCTTTCCCTTCCACAAGAGGACATACTGATCCATTACATTGATGACGCTATGCTGATTGGACCTAGAAAGGAAGAAGTATCAATTACTCTAGACTTATTGGTAAGATATTTGCTTGCTAGAGGACAGGAAATTAATCCCACAAAAATTCAGGAGCCTTCCACATCAGAGAAATTTCTAGGGGTCCTGTGGTGTTGGGCAAACTGAGACATCCCTTCTAAAGTGAAAAATAAGTTATTACATCTGGCTCCTCCTACAGCTAAAAAGAAGGCACAATGACTGGTATGCCTCCTTGGATTTTGGAGGCAACATATCCTTCTTTTGGGTGTGCTTCTCTGGCCTATTTATCAAGTAACTAGAAAACCTCCTAGTTTTGAGTGGGGTCCAGAACAAGAGAAGACTCTGAAGCAGGCTCAGGCTGCCATGCAAGCCACTCTGCCACTCGAATCATATGAGCTGGCTGATCCAATGGTGTTTGAAGTGTCAGTGGCAGCTAGAAATGCTGTATGGAGTCATTGGAAGGCCTCTGTTGGTAAATCACAGCACAGTAGAATTTTGGAACAAAGCTCTGCCACCCTCTGCAGATAACTACTCTCCTTTTGAGAAACAGCTTTTGGCTTGTTACTGGGCCTTAGTGGAGACTGAAAAACTAACCGTGGGCCACCAATTGACCATGCACCCTGGGCTGCCCATCATCAACTAGTTGTTGTCTGACCCATAGAGTTATAAAATTGGATGTGCACAGCAGCACTCCACCATTAAATGGAAGTGGTATATATGGGATTAGGCTGGAGCAGGACCTGAAGGCACAACCAAGTTGCACGAGGAATTGGCTGGGTGACTGATCCTGATTATCAAAGGGAAATTGGATTGATATTACATAATGGAAGTAAAGAAGAGTAAGTCTGGAATATAGGAGATTTCTTGGGGCGTCTCTTGGTAGTACTATCCCTGTGATTAAAGTCAATGGAAAACTACAACAACCCAATTCCAAGATGACTACTAAGGGCCCAGACCCTTCAGGAATGAAGGTTTGGGTCATGCCACCATGTGAAGAACCGTGACCAGTTGAGGTGCTTGCTGAGGGCAAAGGGAATACAGAATGGATGGTGGAAGAAGGTAGTTCTAAATACCAGTTATGACCACATGATGAGTTGCAGAAACGAGGACTATAATTGTTATGAGTATTAATTCCTTGTTTTATTATATGTGTGTGTAATATTTGTGGTTTTTTCCATCCCTTATCCCATCACTTACAAAACGGAAGATGTAAATAGGGCTAGTGTGCTTTTGGTTGTACACATGTTAATTGTATCATGTTAGGTGTAAATATGACTTTATAATTGTCTTTATTTAGAGATTACGTATGGTTTAAGGAGATGTATACTGCTGCCAAGTTGACAAGGGGTGGACTGTGCTGGTTAATGTTTGTGGCAACTTGCCTGGGTCATGAATCTCAGTATTATGTAATTATCCTTCATTTAATAATCTGATGCAATTATCTTCCTATTTGTGAACCAATTTAATTATCCTCCATTTGTAGTCTGATGTAATCTTGCTCCATTTTGTGATCTCACATAAGTTATACAGGCGTATCTTGCTTTATTGTGTTTCACTTTAGTTTACTTCTCATATATTACACATTTTACAAATTGTAAGTTTCTGACAACCCTGCATCGAGCAAGTCTATTGGCACCATTTTTCCAATAGCATGTGCTCACTTCGTATCTCTGTGTCACGTTTTGTTAATTCTCACAATATTTCAAACTTTTTCATTATTATTACATCTGTTATGGTGATCTGTGATCAGGGATCTTTGATGTTAGTACTGTAATTGTTTGGGGGTGCCATGAACTGCAGAAGAGGAGTTGCTTCTTTTGGACGAGCAAAGAAAGTGGTCCTTGAAATGGAAACTGTTCCTGGTGAAAATGCTGTGAACATTGTTGAAGTGACAACAAAAGATTTAAAATATTACATAAACTTAGCTGATAAAGCAACTGCAGCATTTGAGAGGGTTGACTTCAACTTTGATAGAAGTTATGCCATGGGTAAAATACTATTGACTATTGCATGCTACAGAGAAATCTCTCATGAAAGAAAGTCAATCAATGATGCAAAATTCATTGTTGTCTTATTTTAAGAAATTGCCACATTCACCCCAAACTTCAGCAATTACCAACCTGATCAGTCAGCAGCCATCAAAATCGAGGCAAAATCCTCCACCAACAAAAAGGTTACAACTCGTTGAAGGCTAAGATGATGGTTAGAATTTTTTAGCAATAAAGTATTTTTAATTAAGGTATGTACATTATTTTTTTTAGACGTAATGTTATTGAACACTTAATAGACTACAGTATAGTGTAAACATAACTTTTATATGCACTGGGAAAATTAAAAATTCATGTGACTCACTTTTTTGCAATATTTGCTTCATTGAGGTGGTCTGGAACTGAACTTGCAATATCTCCTAGGTATGCCTGTATAATGTAATTACCTCCATGATGTGATCTGATGTGATCAGCCAATCAATTGTAAGGGGAGTTTCCTTAGGGTGTGGACTGCACTCAATATATATGGCCGTTCTAGCAACGTTCACTTGCTTGCTCTGGTTCCTGCATCTCACTCCTACATCTGACCTCCAGTCTTGGGACTTAAGCCAGTGGGCTGCCATATTGCCTGCTGATCTTGGATTTGTCAGCCTCTGCAGCCTGTGAACCAGCAGCCTGACAGTATTGCC